ATCTAAAATACCAAGAAAACACTTTCTTAAGAAGCCAGCTGAAAATGTATGCCCTGGAAGCCATGGCTCAGTTGTTGGAGCGCTGACCTGTGCACCAGAAGGTTGCAGTTTCGATTCCTGGTCAGAGCACAATACCTACGTTTGATCCCTGGTCAGGGCGCATTTGGGAGGCAACAGATTGATATTTCTCTCTCACACTGATGTTCCTCTTTTCTCCCTTCCTCCCTCCCTCAATAAAAAAAAAAAGTATACCAATCCTCCCCACCCCCCAACACACACACATGAAAACACCCGGGGTCAAAATGACACACTGGACAAGCTACAAAAGCTTTCGGTTCGGAGTGAAGCAGGACTGAGAGCTCTACGCAAAGAGAACTGGTATGTCTCAGTATTGGGAAAGAAAAAAAATGAATAAGTACTCAATCTAATAGAGATTGAAATTTTTATGATTAAATTTATTAAAGATTATGGAAAAGGGTAATTAGCCTAAAAATGGAGTACCATAGTTCCCTTTCTTAGCTTTGAGCTGAATATTGTCATGGCAATATAAATTCTGATGTCTGACTGAACTAAAATTTGCCCTGTAACTATACTGGGAGTATGAGATCAGGGCCTGTTTGTATGTGTATGTACATGTGTGTAAAGAGAAATGAATATATAAGGAATAAAATCTCTATTTGACTTAATAGAAGATAAACGATGTTTTAAAAGAGACGTACTGGTTTCAAACATAAGGAGATCAGAAGTTGCCACTCTGCCCTAACAAGTAAAAAGTTGAGCCAACTGAAAAATCAACAACTCTTCTTGGATCCATCAGAGAAGGGCAGACCTAGGGGCAAATGGCTGAGAGAGAGAGTCAGTCAGAGTACAGGGAGTCACCCCTTATTGAAGCAGAGGCTCACAGGAGCAGAAACTTTCAAATTACAAAGAAAATAAAAATTAAATTAGAAATCCTAAAAGAAGGCAGAGGAAAAAAATAAACACCTTACCTATAGAGCAGGGATGGGAAATGCCCAGCCCAAGGGCCATATAAGGCCCATGAAATCATTTGGTCTGGCCCCACCAAGACATTACAAATGTGTCAATTAAATGTAGTTGATAATACTGCATGGCCTTTGAATGATGTTGTAAATATCCAAATGGCCCTTGGCAGTAAAAAGGTTCCCCTACCCCTACTCTACAGGAAGAAAAATAAGAATTACATTTAACTTCTCCGAAACCATGCAAGCAAGAAGAAAGTGGAGTAATATCTGAAGTGTTAATTAAAAATCCCACCAACCTAGAATTCTATATCCTGCAAAATGATGCCTCAAAAGCAAAGGGGAAAAGGAGACATATGTAATACTTTAAACAATTAAAAAAACAAAAACAAAGGAGAAATACTTACACTTTCCCAAATAAAACATGAAGAGAAACAATGTACTAAATTATGTATATATTGTGTGTATACACCATCAGCTTTTGTATGTGTGTATTGAGTGATAGCAATGATACAAGGGACAGAAGGAAGAAATTAGGATTATTTTGTTATAAGGTACTCACACTACCCATGAAGTGGTTATTGTAATTTGAAAGTGGACTTGGATTAGTTGTAGATATATATTGTGAGTTCTAGGAAAACCACTAAAAAAATTATTGTTTATTTTAATCCTCACCCAAGGATATGTTTTTATTGATTTCAGAGAGTGAGAAAGGGATAGAGAAACATCGATGTGGGAAACATCGATCAGCTGCCTCCTGACCATGCCCTAATTGGGGATTGAACCAGCAACCCAGGTATGTGCCTAATGGGGAATCAAACCCACAGCCTTTTGGTGTATGGGATGATGTTCCAACTACCAGGCCAGGGTAAAAAAACTTTTTTTTTTTTTTAAGTATAATTGATATACTAAGGAAAGAGAAAAAATAGAATCATATAAAATGCTTGATTAAAACCACAAAAGGCAGAAAAAGAGTGAAAGACAAAAATAGGAATAAAAAATAAGGGCAACAAATAGAAAACGGTAATATGGTAGATAAAAATCCAACTATATCAATAATTACTTTCAATGTCAATGTTCTAAATCAGCCGTGGGCAAACTATGGCCTGTGGGCCGGATCCGGCCCGTTTGAAATGAATAAAACTATTGAAAAAAGGGACTGTACCCTTTTATGTAATGATGTTTACTTTGAATTTATATTAGTTCACACAAACACTGCATCCATGCTTTTGTTCCGGCCCTCCGGTCCAGTTTAAGAACCCATTGTGGCCCTCGAGTCAAAAAGTTTGTCCACCCCTGTTCTAAATGCACCAATTAAGACAAATTGTCAGAGTGACTCAAAAAACACAACCTAACTACATGTTGTCTATAAGAAACCCACTTTGCCGAAACCGGTTTGGCTCAGTGGATAGAGCGTCAGCCTGCGGACTGAGAGGTCCCGGGTTCGATTCCGGTCAAGGGCATGTACCTGGGTTGTGGGCACATCCCCGGTGGTGGATGTGCAGGAGGCAGCTGATCGATGTTTCTCTCTCATCGATGTTTCTAACTCTCTCTATCTTTCTCCCTTCCTCTCTGTGAAAAATCAATAAAATATATTTTTAAAAAAAAGAAAAAAAAAACCCACTTTAATATAAAGGCACATTATAGAAAAAAATCAAGTATATATACCAAAATAACAACAAACCTCAAAAAACAAGTGAGCTAATGATAGGAAATACACAACTTCTTTTTTCCTATTATCAAATCTACCAAGAGCGTGTTGCTATTGCAATACTAGAGGCCCTGTGCATGAAACTCGTGTACTTGGGGTGGGGTATCCCTCAGTCCAGCCTGCATTCTCTCACAGTCCAGGAGCCATCAGTTGGACATCCTTAGCACTGACGTGGAGGCGGGGAGGCTCCCACCACCGCCGCTGCGCTCGCCAGCCAGCCATGAGCTGAGCTCAGGGCTTCTGAGCGGTGCTCCCCCTGTGGGAGTGCACTGACCAACAGGGGGCAGCTCCTGTGTTGAGGGTCTTCCCCTGGTGGTCAGTGCGCATCATAGCGACCAGTTGTTCTGCCATTCGGTTGATTTGCATATTAGCCTTTTATTATATAGGACTAGAGGCCTGGTACATGGATTTGTGCACCAGTGGAGTCCCTTGGCCTGGCCTGTGGGGATTAGGCCAAAACCAGATCTCTGACATCTCCCAAGGGGTCCAGGATTGCAAGAGGGCACAAGCCAGGCCAAGGGACCCCACCAGTGTACAATCGGAGATGGGGAGGGACCACAGGCGGTTGGCTGGCTGGGGAGGGATCGGGGAGGGCTTCAGGGCGTGTCCGGTCCATCTCACCCAGTCCTGATTGGCTGTACCCCAGCAGCAAGCTAACCTACTGGTTGGGGTGTCTGCCCCCTGGTGGTCAGTGCGCATCATAGCGACTGCTTGAATGATTGAACGGTTGGACATTTAGCATATTAGACTTTTATTATATAGGATAACATAGATTAAACACACTCAAAATCTTCCTGAGATTTTTCCTGGGCGATCTTTCTTTTCTAGTTATTTTAGCATTCATTCATTCATTTGTAATGTCCATTTGTGGCAATGACAGTGCTATGTGCTCAGCAAATCATTTGGATTTTCTTCCAAACACTTATGACTATGCTTCCCCATCTCCCTTACCATTGGCTGGGAATGGTTTGGCTGAGTACTGGCTGATGGAAATGGGAAGTGATGTATGCCTGTCAGGCCTGGCCATCAGAGCTCTGCAGAATCCACCATTCTAGCTCATTTCCTTCCATGGGAAGTTTGGAGATTTAAAGCTGGCACTGTCACAAAGTGGAGAAGTCTCGATCCCTGGGAACCTGGAGCCTGCCACACTGGAATATTATGGAGCTGCTGAGATGTTGCAATTATTACAGCAGCTCATCTATCCTAATTTAGCATTAGTATTATCAGTAGGAAAGAGAAACGAAAATGCTACTTCCAAAATACAAACCTTTAATAGTGGCCCATTATCTACTGAAGTCCTCAAATGGCATGCATGAAGTGCATGACCTGGCACCATGCACTTCAATCTAAAAATCCCACTGTCCCTCCTAAATGCTCCCTAAACTCTTGGATCTGTTCTTCCCCATTAGAGTACCGATCACAGCTGTATTGTAATTAGTTTGTTATTCATCAGTCCCTTTCACTAGTTCTTGAGTGTCCAATGAGGCAGCAGGGGTCCTCTTCAGAGATGTATCTTCAAAGCTTAATGCTTCATGCTGGGTATATAAAGGATGCTCAGAATGAATTAATGTGCTCTTAAATGTTCATAGCTTCCTAAAATACCATGAAATTTTAGAGCCTGGAAGGTAGGGAAAAGCAATTTTCACTTTATCAAAACATATTCTCTTCTAAAATAAATTCTCAATCCCTGAATAACTGACTGCCTAGCCTAAAGCTCTTACATTACTGGAATGAAACCAAGAGCCAAGAAGCAAATAACATCATTTTGAACTAGAATTAGTTTCTAGACCAAATCCTTAATGGGTTTGTGAAGCTTTAAAAATTCTGACTTCCTAAATTCAGAAATAACTTTTTTCATCTTGAAAATTTGCAACAAAATTATTCCTAGGTATTTTAAATGGAGGTGGATTCTGAGTTATTTCACATAGAAAGTAACCTTAGAGATTTAAAAATCATCACTGTAATTCAAAGCATTCCACTTGAAGGAGACAGGATCAGAAAAGGACTGTATTTTATGCTACTTAGAAATTTTAGGTTTAGTAACAGCCCTTCCATTAAATACAAAAGAATTATTTTAAAATGTATTAAACAGCAACTTTCAAGGTTCAGTCTTAGGTATTACTTTAATAGCACTAATGAAGTATATAGTTATTTTAAAAGCTTATTTTTAAAAATCCATTTTACTCACTGCATATAGAGAACTAGATTTTTTAAAAATGTTTTTTCCTTTACATGGAATATCTTAAGATACAAAGAACCAAATTACTTTTGTTTTTATTTATATGGGAAAAACAACACACAGGCCTTTAGTCAAATAATTTTGTGATATTTATGTTCCATTGCACATATATGAGTTATACAAATTAGTAACACAAGTTATTTCTCAAATTCCAAACATTTTCTAAAATATTATTACAGCAGATGCCTAGGATATTAAAACACTGAGGTGGAAATTATACGCTAAAGAGTTAAATATTACACTGAAAATACTGCATATTTTAATTAGAGAAAAATTAAATTGTGTGCTTATTAAATGCTCTAACAACTAAGTAGCAGGGCAACTAACAACTACAAATAAGTCACAATGGTCCATTTTTATGTATGCATTTATATGATTATCCTTTAGATAATCACTCCTCTTGAAAATGCACAATTAAAACATAGAATCTCTCTACCTAAGATATATGGTGAAGTGTACTGTTTTTTATGACTTTATACAACTACTAAATCAAAGATAAAAGACACCACACTTGGAAAGAAGAAAATATTTTTAAAAGGAAATGGTTTTAATTGAATTAATGAGATGAAAAGATAGTGAAGCCCTGTTTGCTACTTACATGAAAGAAGATTTTAAAAAATAATCACTGCACAAAATACAAAGAGTATGGTTATGCTGTGTTATTAAGTTTTTCTCCATGTTTTTCTTGAATGTTCAAGAACAAATTAAAGTTTCCACGGCAAATTTGTTTTCAAAATGCCGAATTGTGATACAATTGCTGACTTCACGTTTCTGAATGCCTGTTTGGAAGGGAAAAGTAGTTAAATTTTTGGTTCTTTAGTCATAAATATTCATATTAATCCACATAGTTATTATTTAGACATATGGAAATATTCTACTCTATATTCCATTCATTAGCTTGATTTTTTAACATTAAAGAAAATAATTTTCTCTTTTCTGAACTAAATGTCTTAACAGATCTTAATAACAATAATAATGCCATAAGTATAACTTAGAGTTATATCTTAACTGTGGTGGTGATTTGTTGAAACTTCAGACTTAAAAAAGAGAATCTCAAATGCATAATCTGACCTTTAAAAAAAATTATAAACCATTAAGATAATTTAAAAATGTAAGAGATCAAGCAGTAGATTTCAGGTGACTGACTCATCAGGTGAAATAAGTAAAAATGCTAACCAAAGCCAGGAAAGCACTTTTACTGGGTGCTGCAGTTCCAAAGAAATCACACCTTAGTATCTGAATGTCACTTCTTACTTTCCCACAGCTCTGCCACATGTACTTTCATTTTATTTTTATAATGATCTTGAAAGGAAACGGGGAGGCACTATTATCCTTAATATTTAGGTGAGAAAACAAAGGTTAAATGATTTGGCAAAGCTATATTAGTTGTGTCAATGCTCTTAATTCCTCAGCCAAATTCCTTTGTAATTAACCTGACTGTGATTATCTTCACCAAGATCCAAAAGAAAAACAATCTGCTTAGAACCCAGATGCCTGAGCATACACCTGAAGAGCTGCTCTAGACACCCTCTGGATAAGAACCTTTGCTGTGTGGCGATACCAAACAGGATGGAACATTGGCCTGGATGACTCCATGGAAGAAACCTTCCGGCAGCTCAAGGCAATGAGATTTCACATTCACCTATTCTTTCTCTCTAACACGAGTGGATTTAGAGTTAAGATGATTCTTCAGAAATCTACAAATATTATAGAGTGATAGAACAGAGTTGTTTCTCATTCATGGCAAACATATTAAGTCTAGCTTAACACAATGAAGTGAAACAAAAAACTTTTCTGCCAGCACTTTAAAAAGTTATTACCTTTAATGGTATCTCTGCGTTGCAGTTTATAAGTTTCCTTGCCATGGCACAGTCGATAAATAAAGAAACCCAGGTGGTCAAGGTTTTCAATGCGATCAGTGATAACCATGTGTTCGTGAATTAGATATGATTGAGGCAAATAGGTTCCAGCCTACATTTGGAAAAAAATAAATTACATGAATATCTCAAGGCCTACACTGAACAGACAAGGAAAATAAAATTCTTACAGATTATAGTTGAAACAGAGGCTGGCAAACTACTGCCCACCATCTGTTTTTATAAAGTTTTACTGAAAAACAGTCATGCCAATTTGTTTACATATTGTCCATGGTATCAGAATTGAGTAGTTGTAACACAGATTTTATTTTTCTTAAAAGCCTCCTATTTATTCTCTGGCCCTTGAAAACTTAAGTATAATTTTAAAAATTACATATTTAATTTCAAAATTAGAAGAAAAAAATAAAAAACCCCACAAAAACCATGAGTCCTGGTTCCTCACAGCTGTATTTCCAGTAAAATGGGCTCCTATAGGGCTAGTTTCTCAACAAGAATTTCCAAGGTGCTATAGCAGCAGCATTAATACGAAATATTTCAAAACTGTATACCTTTATGTTAATAAGTAACTCCAGTAGGTTTCTGGGTGGCATAACAATGGAAGTGTTCAGAGGAATCACATAGCACTTATCCAGGTTAAGATCTAAATAGGCCGTGAGTTTCTGGGAAGAAAAAGATACATTTTTGTTAGATTAATATTTATAACTCAGGCAACAGCTGTACTTTTAAGAATAATTTATACCATTAAAATGGGTTGGCTTTAGAATATGTAAATCACTTGTATTTCAGTAAGTCAAGACTTTGCTGGGATAAGAATGGAAGTAGAAATGGGAGAAGAAAAATTGAAAAATTAAGAAATAAAATTCTTTTAAAATGTATTTATCTATTTATTGATTTTAGAGAGAGAAAGAAAGGAAAGAACAGAGAGAAAGAAACATCAATTTGTTGTTTCACTTAGTTATGCATTGTTGATTCTTGTATGTGACCTGACTTGGGACTGAACTGCAACCTTGGAGTATGAGGACAACACTCTAACCAAGTGAACTACCTGGCCAGGTTGGAAATAAAATTCTTATCAGGGGTTTGTTTCTATAATAAGCTATTAAAATTAACAGCAAATAACCTATAATCTGATTAAGAGATTCAGTTAGTTCCCTTATTTATAAGCCCTAATGTCCTCCAAGGTATCCATCAATTGTAGATAAAAATGAACTCTCCTATGCATCTAGAATAGTATCCTATCTACACTAATAAAAGAGAAAAATGGTAATTGGCGTACGACGCTACCCTTTTCATTGGCTAATCAGGGCTATATGCAAATTAACTGCCAACTCAGATGGCAGTTAACTGACAACAAAGATGGCGGTTAATTTGCATATGTAGGCACAATGCAGGGAGGCGAAAGGGAAAGCAGGAAAAAGCCCCCTGCCACTGACAGTGATCAGAAACCCAGGTGGGAGCTAAGAGCCGGGGGGCATGATTGGAGAATTGGGCCCCTTTGCTGCCCTGGCCAGTGATAGCAGGAAGTAGGGGTGGAGCCAGCGATGGGAGCTGGGCACAGTCGAAGCTGGCAGTCCCGGTAGCTAGGGGTCCCTTGACTGGGCCTAAAGCGGAGCCCACGATCGCGGGGCCGCTGCCGCTGTGGGTCCCCGCTGCCCGGGCCGGACGCCGCGGCCAGAGGCGTTAGGCCTGGGCAGGGGCAGAGCCTGCAACCACGGGGAGCTGGGGGTCCCCTGCCCAGGCCTGACACCTCTGCCGGAGGCCTCAGGCCTGGGCAAGGGGCCGATCCGGTGATCGGCGATCGGATGGTGATGAGGGTCAACTCCTCTGGCCGAGGCATCAGGCCTAGGCGGGGGGGCGGAGCCAGCAATCTGAGGGGGCTAGGGGTCCCCTGCCCAGGCCTGATGCCTGGGCCAGAGGCATCAGGCCCGGGTTGGGGGCGGAGCCGGGGATTGGGGGGATATGATGGTCCCCTTGCCCAGGCCTAAAGCCTGGGTCAGAGGCATCAGGCTTGGGCAGGGGGTGGACCAAGCGATCAGAGGGAGATGGGGGTCCCCTGCCCAGGCATGATTCCTGGGCCAGAGGCATCAGGCCTGGGCTGGAGGCAGAACCAGTGATGGGGGGAAATGAGGGTCCCCTGCCCAGGCCTGACGCCTCTGGCAGAGGCGTCAGGCCTGGGCAAGGGCCGATCCTGCGATTGGAGGGTGATGGGGGTCAACGCCTGAGGGCTCCCAGTATGTGAGAGGGGGCAGGATGGGCTGAGGGACACACTCCCTCCCCACAACCCAGTGCACAAATTCTGTGTACCGGGCCCCTAGTCCTATATAATAAAAGGCTAATATGCAAATAGACTGAATGGTGGAACAACCAAACAACCAGTCGCTATGAGGTGTGTTGACCACCAGGGGCACATGCAGAACATGGTGGGCATCAGCAGCTGGCGGCAGAGTGCAGAACATGGCGGGTGTCAGCTGCAGCAGGATGGTGGAGCAGGTGAGCAGGGGCGCCAGACCAAGGCAGGGTGCCGGTCGTTGTCATTAGGGCGAGCCTCTGGTGGTTACTGAAAATTCTTTGCTCTCATGCCCGTGGTCCACCCGGCACTTGCACCTGCTGCCGGTGCCGGCCCGCTCACACCCACTGCTGGCGCTGGAGCCACTGCTTGCACCCACTGCCAGCACCCAGCACCGGCACCAATCGCCCCTCCACCTCCCCTTGCTCCTGAGGGACGATCAGGGCTGGCAGCCGCCTCCCACATCCACTGCTGACGACAGCTCTGTTTGCACTTGCTGCTGGCGCCATCAGCAGCGGTGGGAGCAGGGCTGCTGGCAGACAGGGGGCCAGGGGCCATGGCAGGAGAGGGTAGGCGGGGGCATGGAGGATGGGCTGAGACCTGGCCCTGTGCCCACCGCAGCCTTGCGGTCCACAGTTCCTTTCAAGGTGCACAAATTCGTGCACTGGGCTCCTAGTCAATTAATATTATCCTTAGAGAATTGAGTAACAGTCAATTTAATGATTGTCTGTGTTCTTGTGGTTTGGGTGAGAAACCCTGTTTGAGAAAGACTCTCAACAGGATGGTTTTGAGGATTAACATGAGTTAACCATGTAAACATTTAGATTTTAAGAGCTAAGTGTTAGCTATTATTATTTACTATTTGCTTTGGATAAGGTTTATTACCTTGAAGTAATTTTTCAAATTGGCTTATAAATATTCAGCAAATGTATTTTATCAGGGATAAAATGCAATGCCAATTTCAGTGATATGTCTACATGTTCAAAATGGCAAATATGTACTGACTTAACATCTGTATGTAATATGAGAATTTCTGAATTTCTGAATCCTGGTTTAAAAAAACAAAACATTCTTGGGACAGAAATTATTGGGGGAATTTATATATCAACTAGATATTAAATAATACTATTTTATGTTAATTAGATGTGATAATTATGTAGTTATATAAATAAAGTTCTCATTCTTAAGAGATAATAGCTTTATGTATCTAGGGTCAAGTGTTAAAAGTGAGAAAAAGAGATAGGATAAAAATAAAACATATGATAATGAGCCCATCAAATGTTGATAGTTTATTTTTTAGGACAGAAGAAACCCAAGTTCAATTTTTTAAGTAAAAAGTAAACTCTAAATAGAATAAATCAGGAAATACGGAAAACTACAAAAAGCTTAAATTAAAGAACTTGCACTCTTTTTGTAGTTCAGGACATCTGGCTCACCTTGTTAAAGTCATGAACAATGTTGGCAGGATCACTATCTGCAAACTCTGGGACAGGCACACTGATGAATTCAACTTCATCTTCCTCAAAGATCTTAATATTTTCCTCAATTGTCTGGTAGCGAGCAGCTGGGGCATCGGCAGAAGGCTCATTCAAGATGACATCATCTTTGATGTACTTTATTCCACAGTAGTACACGTCATCTGGCTACAGAGGGTTTAAACACTATTTCAGCATTTCAGTAAGAGACAGGTTTTTAAATGTAAGCATTACTTAAGCTGCCACAGCTATCTAAGTAGTAGTTTGCTTGCAAACTCATACTTTTAGATGACAAGTCAGACAGCTTAATTATAGAGTTAACACATTCTTTGGGATCAGGTTTTAAAGTATTGTAAAAAAAAGTTTCAAAAGGAGAAAAACAGCTGATTTTCCCTTTATTCTTTGTGGTTCACAGAAATAGAATATAAAAGCAATTATCCATCTGGTGACAAGTTTGAAGAAACACACAGACCTATTTCTACTTGTAGGCATTATTTTTATAAAAGAATATATTCAGAAATTAATGTTTCTTCTGAAAGAGCATACTTTTATTAAAACTTTTAATATGATTCACTGATTCAATAATTTTTCTATTAGCCAAAAGAGGGATAGTTTTTCTGAAATTTTCAGTCTGATTTTTCCTTAAAATATATCACAATTAAATGGAAAATATTACATTACAGCAAATCATTATAAAGACTGCAAAAAGTAAACATATATAATAAAAACTAGAAGTATATAACAAAACATTAAGACAACAAGTATCTTTGGACAATAAAACTGCAAATGAGTTTTCCTTTATTAAATATATTTCTTATAAAAATTGTATTAGCCAAAACCGGTTTGGCTCAGTGGATAGAGCGTCGGCCTGCGGACTGAAGGGTCCCAGGTTCAATTCCGGTCAAGGGCATGTACCTGGGTTGTGGGCATATCCCCAATAGGGGATGTGCAGGAGGCAGCTGATCGATGTTTCTCTCTCAGCGATGTTTCTAACTCTCTCTCTCCCTTCCTCTCTGTAAAAAATCAATAAAATATATTTTAAAAACAACTGTATTAAACAAGGTTGAGTGGTATTTCAGTAATGTCTATTGATATGCCATCATCTTGAAAAATATAGAAAATGAGCATGAAATTTATACATCTTCTGGCAGACTAATAAAATCTATTTGTCAACACTCTCCCTAAATTTTAAAAATATTAAGAAACATTTGAGGTAGTCATAAAAAGCTCATTTTCCAAGATTACATTAGAAAAAAAACAATAACCTACTGAATTATCACCCAGAAAAATATACCACAAAACAGAGGGGATAATTATAATCAGAAGAAAAATCTGTCTTAACCCACTAGGATTACTATTAAATACTTAAGTTTTAAATAACTTCCATCTTAAGTTACTTCAACATCATTGCTGAAGTCACACAATTCTCTAGAGTAGTGGTTCTCAACCTTGGCTGCACATTAGAATCACCTAGGAATCTTTTTAAAATCCTGATTTCTGGGCCTCAATGAGAATCTTTTAAAAAGATTCCCAGGTGATTCTAATGTGTAGCCAAGGTTGAGAACCACTGCTGTAGAGAAAGTAATGACTGAGAAAGAGGCAGAGAGAAGTACTCCAGTGTATTCTGTGTGTTTAAAGGACTGTCTAAAGGCTGGGCAAACAGGTTTAGGAGACTCAAACACAACTTTCGCCCGAACCGGTTTGGCTCAGTGGATAGAGCAGGGCCCTTCTTCCTAAAATCTCCTGTCCTCTTCCAGCTCCTGATCAGTTGCAGTCACTCTAGTCAATGACATGAATTATTTTTGTAAAAAAAAATTGTAAGTTCGCTTGCTATTCTGTCCCTAGGTTTTTTTTGTTCACCATTATTATTTTAAAAATTTTATTTTTAAAAAAAATTATAAAATAGGACCACGGCTCTGGCTAAGGGCCACAGACTAAAGTGCTGGCTTAGAACAAGTTAGGATCAATTTTCTAACACACTGAAGAAAAGGCAAAAATGGTCTTACTATTTTTCCACTTACTTGAAGTGCAAAGTATTTGTACAGGTATGCCCCTCCTAGAATGACACCTGCAAGCATAAATGCTAGTCCAAAGCACATGCACCAACACCAGGCTCTTCTCTGGCCAACTGGTACCACTTCATCTGGGTCCTAAAATATGAAAACAGACGGATGGTCAATATCATATCTCCAGTCAGAATCACAGAAAGGTCAGGATTGAAAGAAACCTTCAGGATTATTGTTTTATAAACTAAGAGACCAAGGAGTCAGGTCTCTAATCAAGATCAAAGCAGTGGCACCAAAACTCATCACAGTGCCTCTGGAGCTATGAAACCAGTCCCTTGGGAGAGTTCTGTCTTCTAACTCTCAACACCCCATCTGCTATCCATATCTCTCTAGTAATAACATACTCCATAATTTCTATTTTCCATGCACAACATTTGGTGATTTAATGTCTTCTAACCTTTAAAAATTCAGAAAAGGTTACAACACAACTTTGTCATGCAATATTATGGTGCTGAGCCTTGTATATTATAACTAGAGTATAACAGATTACTTGCAGCAGAAAAATGGTCTAGGAAATTTTTTAAAAAGACCTTTCTAGGAAAGATTCAATTAAAAAATCAAACCCTTATAGAGTCAAAAGACATACAACTAGCATACAATTGCTAGAATTTTTATTTTGATTAACCCAAGGAAATAATTTAACATTAGAATGTCATCTGGGGTAAAGTCCTGAGATACTCCTTTTGCCCTCCTAACTCAGTTCCTCTACTCTGTCACTTCGGAGTAATAGTTAATTTCTTATAGTACTTGTACCCAGTTTCATATGAAACAGCAGACAAAGGAGATTATCTGCTGGAATTACATTACTAGTGGTTCAAAAAAATAATATAGTCAATAACATTGTGGTAGCTGTTATTGTACTAGACAATTACATATGTCTAGTAATTGTATGGTGTTAGATGGGTATTGGAAATATCGGGGGAACACTTGGCAAAGTTGTGATTGTCTAACCATCAAGCTGTCAGAACATTAAACTGTGCTAGAGTAGGTATACTTGTCAATGTACTGTATACTAACATAACAAGTGAACTGCAAGGGAGTAGTACATAATGAGAATAAGACTAGAAGAATTTATTAAGTCATGTAAGATATTCCACACCTGTGAATAAAAACTTATTAAGAATTTCATGAAGCTATAAGGCAGTGGTTCTCAACCTGTGAGTCGCGACCCCTTTGGGGGTCAAACGACCCTTTCACAGGAGTCACCTAAATACATCCTGCGTATCAAATATTTACATTACGATTCATAACAGTAGCAAAATTACAGTTATGAAGTAGCAACGAAAATAATTTTATGGTTGGGGGTCATCACAACATGTGGAACTGTATTAAAGGGTCGTGGCATTAGGAAGGTTGAAAACCACTGCTATAAGGTAAAATGAAAATTAATGATAAAGTACAGTGTTTTGCTTGAGCCCTTAGGAGATAAGAATTCATTCCAAGCATAATTTTAAGATGGAGGCATAGTGGGGGGGTGGAAATAATCATTTCTAAACATTTGGTACCAGCTGTTGAGACAGTCAAAAGTGTGTACAACACCGACTGTTTGGCAGGCTCTCTTTTCTAGTAGCACATAAGTGAATAGCCAAAGAGCATGGGCTGACACTTGTAAAAGAATATACAGCCCTAACTTTCAAATTAATGACAAGTTTCCAGGCCTTTTGGTATATCATTTTTAACTGGCCAGTAAACAATAATTTCAAGAATGTCTACTACAGTGGTCCCCAACCTTTTTTGGCCATGCCCCACCTAAAGCATCTCCTGATGCCTCCCCCAGCCCCGCCTCCCCGGACATATAATTCTTATTATTCAAAAAGTGAACTCCTATTCACATGGAGGAAGCCTAAAAGGCCATTAACTTGGTCTAAACAAACTTCCAAAGAACATGGCATCCATGAAAGAGAAAAATGAAAGAACAAAAGAACAGCTGAAGTACTGAGGAAGAAATCACTAAGAAATTGTTAATAATAATATGCAGCAATATGAAAAATAGCAAAGTTTCAAAACACATAACTGAAATGCACAAATGTCACAATATATATTTATATACAGTATATGAGGCCCCTAGGACCATAAGAAATGCAAAAAATTCACTGTTAACTCATTCTCGAATGCCCCCCTTAAAAAATCAAATTGCCTCCACATTGAAAACCACTGGTCTACTATGTTCTAGGCATTGGTTAGATAGCCTCTGTCAAGAAGAGATCATACAAAATCAGTCTGGAAAATAAATATGCAAAGAGAACATAAATATGGCATGGGTTCTAATAAAGAATGTAGAGAGCACAGAAGAAGGGATGATAGTGTTTGAAGAAGACTACCTAAGGGAGAACCTACTGGAATGGAATATTGAAGAACAAATATTCATTACTCACACAGAAGACAGAGTTGAGGGGCAAAAAAATGAATAAAATCATCAAGCTAAAATGTGTATCTCCAAGGGCTTCATGTGGTATGGCTAGAGTGCCCAATATGGTGGGAAAGGGTACAAGAAATGAGAATGGAGAAGTCAATGGGGCAGACCAAAGGAGAGGTATCTGGAGTGCCTCAGTTGGATGGAGCATCATCCCAGACACCAAAAGGTTGCAGGTTTGATTCCTGGTCAGCGCACATATCTATGTTGTGAGTTCAATCCCCTGTTGGGGTGCATATGGGAGGCAACTGATTTGATGTTTCTCTCTCACATCAATGTTTCCCCCCCACCCCCATCTCTAAAACCAATAAAATAAAATTTCTTAAGGTCTCTGCTTTGCACCATGTGAGGATACAAAGAGAAAATAGCCATCTGCACCAGGAAGCAGGCTTTCACAAGAACTGAATCTGCCTACACCTTGATCTGGGGCTTCCCAGCTTCTAGACTGTGAGAAATAAATGTTTTGTTGAAGCTAAAAACAAACAAACAAACAAAAAAAAACAAATAAAACATTAAGACGATGACAGTAAGACAAAAAAATTTAAGTTTCTCAAAGAATTTAATTTACAAAATACTTATCCACAGACCATTGTTCAGCACAACATTGTGAACCACGGCTTATGAATCAGAAAATTATCGCCAAATTATGGAGCCAAAGTCCATACACTACAGTCATGAAATACTATCAGGTATTTAAAGTTCATCTAATCTCTTTTCTTCTCTAAATTCATAGTGATCACATTCTACTTTGCATTAGAATAACTCAGATACAGATCTTTTCTTTCCCTGCTAGGCTACAAGGATCTTGTAAGTATTCATTCATATTCATTTTGTATTACAGTCATACAGGCATGTGCTACATGTTTCAGCTAAGGATATGCATATATGAAGGTGGTCCCATCTATACTAATAAAAGGGTAATATGCTAATTAGGCCAGATAGATCGGACATCCTTCCGAACAAAGCCACAGTGGCTGTGAGAGCTGGCAGTGGCAGCAGCAGCCAGGAGCTGCCGTGACACGCACTGGCCATTGACAGAGAAACAGCATTGGCAACACTGCTTCCCCCAAGTGGGACACAGGCCCCACCAACACCTGAGCAACAGCCGACCAAATCATAGCTGATGTTGCTGAAACCCCATGGTGCAAAATGGCCCAGCCCAGCCCAGAAACGGTCGCTGTGGGTGCTGGGTAATGACATCACATAGCAATGCCCGGCTCCCTCACCCTAGTGACTAGCCTCCTTGCAGTTTATTCAGCCCAGGAACATGACTTGCTTTATAGCCAGGTGCAAACATTTCACATTTTAACCCAATGTCTGTTAAGCATTTTCCCGTGCCTCATGTGACCTATAATAATAATCTGCTTTGTGTTGATATTTACTGCTATATTGCTGACAATTACCTGAAAGAAAAGCTGGGGTGCCTGAAAGCAGGTCTAATTAAGCAAGTTTATTCTCTATCTATAAAAGGCTAAGTTGATTCACGCATGCACAATACATATAAAACACTAGCTGTTGCCAATTGCATGCGTGTTTCGATATGTCATTGTCGATCGTCAATTTGGTTGACACTTCTAGTATAGAGAAAGGGAAAATAGTGATATTAAAATATGCCTTCTAATTAATGTCCTTTCATTGTGCACAAATCTGGGCACCGGGACACTACTAAGATTTTAATGGAACTGAAAAATTGCTATCCGCTAGTGATGTCAAAGCTGCTGTAATGCAATGTGTTACTCCTGCTTGTGGTGATAGTGGTGTAAACAAATCTACTGTGCTGCCAGTTGTATAAAAGTATAACACATATAATTATGTAGTACATAATATTTGATAATGATAAAAATGACAATGTTGCTGGTTTATGTATTTACTAGAGTATACTTTTAATCTCTTATTTAGAGTGTACTCTTTTTTTCACTTATCAAAAAAAGGTTTGCTGGCCCTAACCAGTTCGGCTCAGTGACTAGAGCATTGGCCTGGGGACTGAGGGGTCCCAGGTTTGATCCCCAGTAGGGAGTGTGCAGGAGGCAGCCAGTCAATGATTCTCTCCCATCACTTATGTTTCTCTCTCTCTCTCCCTCTTCATTCCTCTCTGGAAACAATAAAAATCTATTTAAAAACAAAAAGTTTGCTGTAAAGCACCATGCCATGTTACATGGAAATAGCCTCATATATCTCCTGTCCACCTCATCTTTTTTTTTTTTTTTAAATACGGAATGCTTCACGAATTTGCGTGTCATCCTTGCGCAGGTGCCATGCTTATCTTCTCTGTATCGTTCCAATTTTAGTATATGTGCCGCTGAAGCGAGCACTTGCCACCGCATCTTGATTGCATCATCTTCTCTTGTGCTTGATTTAATCTCTTATTGTTTTGTACAGTACATGTTGTAACAGGCTTGTAGCCTAGGAGCAACAGGTTGTACCATATAACGTAGGTATGTATGTAGGAGGCTATACCACCTAAGTTTGTGCAAGTATACTCTATAATGTTCACGCAATGACAAAATCGCCTAACATATTTCTCAGTATGGATCCCTGTCATTAGGCAGTACTGCTAGCTTACAGCCAACCTTGGCATTTAGTTGGTTCTCAACAAATATTTGATGGGTGAATAAAATTTGTATCTTTTTTAAGCTTAATTTTTCCTAAATAACCCATGTTAAGTTACATT